CTCGCCGGCAATGGGAGCACCGATACCATGCTTATTCTTGTCCTGCAGTTTGAATGTATGTCCATAGAAGGGCACTCCCATCAGCACCTTCTCTTTGGGGATACCTTTGTTCACATAGTATTGTGAGGCACTGATACAGAAGGAGTACTTCGAGTGGTGACCCGTCTTTCCCTCCCACGTGCCGGCCTCGTCGTACGTCATGACGCTTATGTAGTCCAGCGCACTGGTAGGTGGTAGTAGTACATGGGTTAGTTATTATGAAAAATTAATTAAATGCGTTTGATTTCCAATCACCAATAAAACATGAATTATAATAGTTTTGTTAGTTTCATAACTATAACATAAATTATTTACAGTTTTTTATATCTCGCTAAATATTATTTTCAATTCTAATTCCCGACTAATTTTGTGATATAATTAAAATTGAAATTATAAGAGTTACAATAACAAATTAAATTGAATTAAGTATTTAAATAATAACGAGGTTTATGTTGAAAAATACCTAAGATTGATTACGAAACTCATACCTACTGTATGATGTTTAAAATATCAAAATCCGGGTTTATATAAAATTTACCTTTATGAATCGTAAGATTTTTTTTCATAGCTTTTAACCAAAGTTAAAAGACTCATAATGATATAAAAGTTATGATTTTGATACTATTTTTAATAAGATCTAATTATATTTGTACTTACGATGCCATAGCTTGGAAATCGTAAGCATGGTCAACTGTGCCACCGGGCACACCGGCTACCACTGCGGCCGATAGGGACAGTCGAGGGTTTTCCTTATCAAATGCTGCCCGCAATTCCTGTCCAATTAATCAAAACATTTATAATCAAGGTAATACAAAAGAGGAAATCAAATATAAACTAAATCTGCTAATTCAAACTTAGCATTCAAATTAAAATACAAATACTTGTTTTTCAAAAAGTATATCTTTACATTGTAAAACATATGCTTACAGTTTGCTATAATTTATTAAAATTTAAAAATAAATGCAACAAAATAAAAACTCTTAATTTGGTAAATTAAAAATAAATGCATGTTAAAATTCAAATATAGAATAAATATCTCACCGTAAGCAAATGACCAAAATTAGGCTTATCAGACTGGGGACCTTTACTACAGTCGCCACCCCAGCAAACCGGGTACTCCCAGTCGATATCCAGACCGTCAAACTTATATTTATGTATGTAGGCGATCGTATTCTTAATAAACGCTGCTCTTTTAGCCGGATCACTAATCAAATGAGAGTAGGGGGCGTCAGGCTGTCCACCACCGCCCAGGGATATAATAATCTTAACATCAGGGTTCTTTTGTTTCAAGGCATTCAACCGGTTGTAGATATCGGGCTGAGGGCCGGCGCTATCCTTAACAACGTTGTGCTGTTCGTCCAACACGTGAAACGCGTGATGAATATGCGTACAAAGGGTTGGGTCGATGTTTTCGGGTGTATGTCCCCCGTCGGCGCCCGACCCCATGCGCCAGTTAGGCCAGTAACAGACCACCTTCTGCTTGGCCAGGCATGACAGCACCTGTAGCCCCACAACCGCCACCAGTAATAAGACTTTCATTTTTCGTTAAGATATTGTTTTTTTATGAACTCTTATTATGGGATAAAATAACTAATTTTTTTATTGAGTCTATTATTTAAGTAGTTTATGTGAAAGTGTAAATTTGCGTGGTTGATTTATCGTACGCTGATAATCTGGGTTATGCTCAGGGTAAGTAAATAAAATGCTTTTGAAATTATTTGAGCCCAATTACGATTTGATAAAAATAATCTAAGTTTTTTTGAAGTGCCAGTCAGTTAGCTTTTTAAAGTATCTTTATTTTTAGTTTAATAAATGTTATAAGTGTAACCTAGTACATACATGTAAAGTATAAATTAACAATTACATCCTTTTTAAAATAAAGATTAAATATCTAATTCAAATTAATTTTCTAAAATAAAATAAAATATGATTTATTAGAAATAGACAAAATAATTTGTATAAAATAAAAATATAAAAATATAATTAATAAAACTTATTTTAAGTTTCATTTATTTCATTGAAATTGTGAATAGTTTAAATATGGTTTCACTTAAAGTATTGTTAAACATATTGTAAAACAAATATTTGCTAAAGTTAAATTAAAACGTTAACTTATTTTGCTATATTAAATATTTTCGTAAGTTATACAAATACTGTAGTTATTATATCTATTAAGATATTAAGTTATTTAATAAACTGTGTATACTAAATATTAATTAAAACCTAAATAATCTTGTTCATACACAGAATATACAGAGAACT